TTGATGTAGTGTTCCATGATTCATTGTTTGCATATAACACCCAGTGTTTGGTTTTAAATTTTAGCATATTCACTTAATGTAATATTTATGTCTGTTTAAATCTGATTGATAGCAAGAATAAGAGAACCTCTCCCTTTTATGCTTCTAGAATTTGTATCTAGACATGCTTAACAATATTATAGAGAAATGAATCACATGTTCTAACATTCAGTAGGACAACTTTTAGGATAAAATATTATGATAAATTATTTAAATGCAAATAAATACACATTACTCATAACATAATGATAGTATGGGTATCATAGATTAATTCTATTTTAAACCAGCTTATTGTGTTTTCACCACATAACAAATCAAGAGTTCTCAAATCCATTCAAGTAAATTATCAAAATCCCTAAGACCTCATTATAATGTTTCCTATTTATCATATTTTATATCAAAGTTCCAGGTAAGTCCATACTTTTTCCATTATTCTCAGTAGCCTGAATTTCAGAATAGATGTTTAGATACTATTCTAATTGTGTTCATATCAGATTCCAAAAAATAAACATGGACAAAAAGGGCCTAATGAATGATCAATAACTTAGGGCTCCTCTGCACTGGTGGATAGGCAGGAAAAGTTAAATAATCAAGATAAGGGTATGGATGCTTGGAATGAGGAAATCAAAGAGAAACAGAAAGAGAAAATTGAGGAATGGGAGAAGAGATGGAAATATGGAGTGAAAACACAAGGACCAGACTAAAAAATATTTAGGCTTTAGATCTTAGTCTAGTATCAATTTGAGTGGTCCCAGGGAATAAAATTCCATCCTCAGTAATTTAGTATCCTGATTTATAAAATGAGGGATAAAGATATTTTTTAAAGATTTTATTTATTTATTTGAGAGAGAAAGAGAGAGTGAACGAGAGAGCACAAGCAGGGGGAGTGGCAGAGGGAGAGGCAGAAGCAGGCGCCCCACCGAGCAGGGAGTTCGACGGTGGGACTCCATTCCAGGACCCTGGGATCATGACCTGAGCCAAAGGCAGATGCTTAACTGACTGAGCCACCCAGGTGCCCTAGTATAAAGATATTTTTTAGAACTTTCCAGATCTAAAGCAACCAGATCTACTGCAAACCTTCCTGAAGAAAACTTTCCTATTTCACAGAAATGAGAAGAAACAAAGCACTCTGTAGGTATACCAACTGTGTCTGCATTTAAGTACTAAGTAGAGCTTGGTTCTCAGTGCCTTATGATCATTCATATCGATAAATTTCTTACCCTTAATTACACACATATTTTTAAAATACTCCTCCTTTATCAGACAGCCCTGGTGAAACAGACATATAAATAGTTCTTGTAAATAATGAGGATGAAAATAAATAGGAAAGAAGGAAGGAAGGAAGGAAGGGAGGGAGGGAGGGAGTAAGGGAAGGAAGGAGGGGCTGACTCAGAGGGCCGACCCAAGAACCACAGAAGGAAGCCAAGAACCACAGAAGGAAGCCAAGAACCACAGAGAACCAATCCCAGGGAGCAGAACTGGGATGCAATCAAAGAACATTCCCTGCCCTTATTATAAGAGATCCTGACAACATTCAGCTGGATTTCAGAATCACAGTGGACCAGTGACAGCTGTGTTCCCAGCCCTTAGGAATGGGAGAATCTTTTACAATTATTCTATCCCTATCCCATGTGTACTGTGTGTGTGAGGAACAATAACTTATCTTTTTAGTTCTTAGTTGTCCAGGTCAAGAGGAACTTGAGCTATGAAGCTTCATTTACATCTGGACCTGATTTTTAATCGTGTTTCTCTGGACTTAAACATGATGCCATAATGGAATAAATATTTGGGAGGATGTGGGGTTTTGTGCATGAAGGAGGGACATTAATCATGAGAATCCAGAGTGGGCTGTGGTATACTGTCACATTGGCTTTCAGGTATTCACTCCCTTGTAGAGTACCCCCTCATATACTCTTTATTTGGCCATTGAAAAACTCCCTCTAAAGGCAGCCACTGTACCGTAAAAAACCTTAGACCAGATTCTTAAATGATGAGACACTAAATACAAAGAACTCTGGAAGAGGAGAGGTCATCTTAGACATTCTAGCTCTGGTCAACCTCACAGCTGAATTCAGCTGCATTAGTGACCTTTGCTTACCCTAAAGCAAAAGAACTACCCAGTTGAGCCTTCAGAAATCATAAATCAGTGTAGTTTTAAGCTAGTAAGTTTTGGGTTCTTTCATCTCAATAACAATAGATAACTAAACCATAAGGTTTATTTGTATTTTTCTCTACCACTTACCAAAGTGATTAATAGATAAGTAGGTATTCAAAAATGTTAATAGCTCAAATAAATTAAATGTTCTAACAAAACAGATCAGAAGAAATGATACCAAGATACCGTTTTTTCTTCTCCAGTTATACACCCACCCACACATTTATATCTCACATTACATATGTGACCATATACTATTTGAGCTATGATTTTATTCGTATAACTTCCAATTAATTGGCCACTTAGCTTACATGTAATTCAGAGATTTGGTTGTGAAATAAGTTGTTGACAGATGGCAATAGAATCTGATAAAAATTATCATCAAAGGAAATAAAGAAGCAATGCAAAACATCAAAAACAGAGTACTTAAATAAGTACTCTGAAATGGAGACTGGTGGTAGTGCAAGTACCTCTTTCAAAATATGAGGTCTCTACATCCACTCTGGCTTCCTCTGTGTTTGTAAATAGCAATTTGTTGTATTAAATTGGAACCACGCAGATGTGTGTGTTTTTATTAGTTCTCCATATACTTTATCATGAGTTGATCAGAACCACTACTTTATTTATGGATAAGGAAACTGTGATTTCAAAGTTAATAAGCCATGGATTTAGAATCTAAGCTTAATTCTTCCAATTTCTGCCATCCACTACAAGGAAATGATGAACATTTATACTGTACCCACTCTCTTATGTTTCTACAATCAAATAAGTTAAAATAAAGATAACAAGCCACAAAAACAGATGAGTCTACACAAGCTGATAATGATTATCATTTGTCTAAAATCATCCTTACCCAACAAATGAAAGAATTTTAAGACATATAAGAATGAAATTCACAGAATAAACAGATTAAGAAAAAACATGTAGCCATCAATAATTGTCACTACCTCTTATTCTGTGATTAATACCATAAAAATACAAATATTCAGTAAAAGTTAATCACGCAAGGCCTGAGAATTATTCTTTGCATATTTTAAAATATTTTTTTTACCATATTTTTTTTTACCATATTTTTGCCAATGAATGCCCAGCTTCTACCTAATTTCCCAAATGTGGGAAAACTACATTGTTAGTATGTGTAATGTTTTATCCTCAGCTCTTATTACCCTCTTAATCCCACTGATTATTCACATATATTAATTTTTCTTTAGCTTATTTTCCAATGTATAGAAATGTTTTATAAAGCCTCTTCAAAGAATCATTTCTGACTATTCCATTCTAAATCTTTGTTATAGGGGAATAAAAATTTTGAATTCAATCTATATTGATAAAGTTGAATGAAACATCTTTTAATAATTAAATAGTGGAGAAAAGCCGATTCATGCTTTATAAAAATTATACTACAGATTCTGTGCAAATATTGATATTTTTAGACAACCAAACATAACCATCATTGGAAACTCTAGTGAGTTTCAACATTCAAGAACCGGAGTGTTTTATAAATAGATAAAACCTTTAAAAATTCACAGGTACTTTTTATGACCCTTACATTTATACAAGTATGTTTTTTTCTTATTTTTATTTATTCTTATTTATCATTTTAAAGAACATGAATATAGCACCAACAAAGAAGTCAATAAATTCAATATGATACAGAAAACAAACTTATAAATCATTCACCATTAAGAGGGAAATAACTGTATTATGTTACTATTTATCATGCCATAATTTTATTTCTATATTTGTGTTTTGATTACAAGTCCTAAATCCAAACACAATTGATGTATATTATCTTTGTGTAAAAATTTTTAAACGTATAAATTTATTAGATTAATAAGCCCTCACAAAATGATACACATAGAAAGACAAAATCTTTGATCTTGAAAATTACAGGTATTTTATTACCATAACAATGTGAAAGGTATGGTTCTAAACTTAATTAACATTGTGTTTTGTTAATATTTCCTGACAGATCTTACACAAATACTAGTATTACAACAACTAAAAGGTAATTTGTTATATGGTGGGAAATTGTACTTACTAGTAGCAAAAGATAGGGGCACCTGGCTGGCACAGTCTATTAAGCATCCAACTCTTGGTTTCTGCTCAGGTCGTGATCTCAGGGTCCAGGATTGTAACTGTCTCTCCTTCTCCCTTTGCCCCTCCCCACCGTGCATGTGTGCATGCACTCTCTCTCTCTCTCTCTCAAATAAATAAGTATTAAAAAAATAGTAGCAAAAGATAAATTAAGCTCTAACACAGCAGTATTCAATCACCAAACACATAACACCTGCATAAACTATTATGTATGTTTTTGAAACACATATGTGAATTCCTCACTTATTTAAATATAACTTCATCTTATCTAGGTACTATTCAGTTACTACAATTCAACATGAAAGAAAGAATTGTTTTCAAACTATCTTTAAATGCCAGATTCTCTGTAAGTCATCACACATGAAATTTGAGCAAATATCCATTTTGAATCCCTTTTGTTTTTTGTTGCTGCTATTGATGTTGTCTTACTTTATAAAAATTAGGTGAATACAGCCATTCATATGGCTTAACTACTTTATTGAAGTCAATATGGAGGAACACTTGTCATGGTATGCAACTTATTTTACATTTTCATATACCCTTTCTAAGGGGAAAAATAATAAGAAACTATCTTATAATTAATAATTTCTTCCACAATCAGTTCTGCCAGTAATAGCATTTGAAAATGTATTATTTGAAAATAAATGTAAAACTTCATCTTTTTAAAATGTCATTTAAATGCATGATAAATTGAGAGTTTCTTTCTTACCGTGGCAAGAACCTTCAATTTCTTCATATCCTGTACTGCAGATACACCTTCCAAGGGGAACCAGCCAATCTCCATCAGCTCCACAATATAGTTTAGGAGTATCACGCTCTTCCGCACTCTTCACACAAGAGCCCCTTACTTCAACCAAAGAAGAAGAATCAACCCTTGGGATGGTGTCGGGAAACATAGCCAAGTTACGAACAGTGAAGGGGCACTTTTTGTAGAAAACACGGACTGAGACCAGGGCAATGCACGCCCCAATGTCTTGAAAAGCCAGATAAAATCCTTTCCTTTCTATAGGCCCCACCTCACGGATTTCCGTGTTTAGCTTCAGGATGCGATCACCCAAATCCATCTGTGTAAAACTTTCATCAGCAGCAATTGTGTCAATCTTTGTATATTGGCTTGGCTTGAATTTAATTCCATGGGACTCATCTGATTCCACATAATACAGATTAAATGTTTCTTTGCAAGTCCCCAAAACCCATGGGATGCTGTTACAATCCCTCAATGTAAACTTCATTTCCACATAAATTTTCTGAGCTGCGTCACGGGAGATCCAGTTCGTACGAAGCCAGTTGTTTTGGTTTGGTTCCATTACATTGCATACCTGGTAGGTGTGAATGGGCCTATTGTGTTCATCCATTTCAGTGATAGCATCCCACTGCAAGAAAAAAAATCAAATGATTATAAAACCACAGTGGTTAAACAGATATGATTCCTTCCAAAATTTTCTGTTTTAGTGAAGAAATATATATAAAAAGGATAGAAATGAAGCTATTCAAAGCAACAATGCAGGAGGATTTTAACCATGAACCTCTGGTTAAGAGTGTAGGTTCTAGACATACCAACTGTCCTGGTATGAACCTTGCTTTACTACGTATTAGTTGTATGACCAAGGGCTACTTACTTTAACCTCTTGTTTCCTTAACTGTAAAATGGAACTGATAATAGTACATGTTTCATAGAGTTGTTGTAAGGTATGTTACTTAATATACGTAAAACAATGTAAATAGTTCCTGGTACACTATACAAATGTAAAATAGCATCCATTATATGATCAAAATAAATAGACTGATGACAAACACAGTGGTTACCCACCTGCCTTCATATCCAATCGGCCACAAATTGAGATATATTTAGCAGTATTCAATTAAATATTTACATGTCTACTGATAGAAAATAGACATAAATAAGGTCATAGATTTATGCAAGAAATATTTATGAGACACTATTCTGGACACTGGGAATACAGTAGTGAACCAGCTGAACCCTGCTTTTATGGAGCTTACTTCGAGTGAGGAGAGAAGATAAAAACTGTAAATGAGTAAACTGAAAAATATGGTAGAAAGTACAATGGGAAAATTAAGGCAGGGAGATGGAGAAGAGGGCTGCCATTTTAAATCGGGTGGCCAGAAAACGCCTTTCTGAGATGGTGACATTTAAGCAATGTCATGGAGGTGAGAGAGTGAACCTTGTCAAGAGGAAATAGTAAGTACAAATACCCTTAGTCAGGAGTATACAGGTCTATCTTAGGAACAGTATGAATGGGCCCTGGAAGCACACTAGGCAACAGGACAGAAAGAGAAAGGACAAAAATAAAGCCTTTAATAAAGCATTTTAAAAAACTTTAGCTTTTACTCTGAGCTGCATCATTGGATTATCTTCACTTCTACATGTTGACATTGAGCATTCTGCCACCTATATTCATATAAAACTTTGTTTATCCTTTTTTACAAATTTAATAAAAATCTCTAAGTACCTTGAAATAAACTGGCATTGTCGGTATTTACACATCTAAATATTGATAATTCCAAATTATAAATAGAGAATGTAAGTGTATTTTATTTGTATAGTAATAGTGATAATTTTCAATAGATTTAAAAAGACATTCTGGTAATTTTATAGCCTTTTTGGGAAAACATGGCATTCATCATAGTTTCTCATTTCTATTAAAGTATCCTGGAAATAAACTATTTTCTATAGTGATTAAGTATTTTATTTCTCACTACCATACTTCAGTGATTTATAAGATTATTTAACACATCCTGTTTGCAGTTTCTTACTTTAATTGGCTGTAGAGAGTCACTTAATCAAGACTAGTTGAATTTCACTTAGCAGTTTCTAATAGAATGGCTACTTTCTTTAGTCTATAGGACAGTTATGACACTAACCACTTTCAATATCTACTGTGTATTTCCACGAAGAAAGAATTTATGTTATCATGCAACCTTAAAAACAATCTGCTTCTAAAAATTTTGTTTATAAGTTGCTAACTTGAACTTCATAGGATATTTTCCAGGAGAAACAAAAAGTTCCTTTGGGACTGTGGATGTAATTTTGCAAAACATCCTTGATAAACATAGGAGTTATCCAATAATCTCATGAAGATACATGCAATTACCCATCTAAATGTTTTTCATTCTAGTGATCATGGGTCTTAACTTAAACTTAAGGCAAACCACTATCATAGCTCATCTTAAAGGCAAACTAACCATTCAGAATATAAGCAGTGAAGCAAGATGCAAATAATAAAATCTGTAAACTACCAAAATCAGTATCCAAAATTCTAAGGATTTCACCCACTGGAGAACATCAGAGGTACTCAACCAAGGATTATTCCAATTTTAGAAAATTTTCTAATCAGAACTGATTTTGTTTCTCAGGAAATGCATGTAATTATTATGGTCTACACTGCATCCTCTACTCTCCCATATAGAAGTATGGAGCTATATTCTCAATAAATTCTGTTTGAATAATTATATTTTAACACCTTCACACTATACCCCTTCACATTAATAAAAAGTATTAACCATGCTTATCACAATCAATTCTCCCAAAATATCATATTTAACTAAAATGTCAAAAATTGCCTCTTATGACAAAAAAAAATCCTGAAATCATTTCATATCTTTATTTAAAAATGTGTGGGTTTGGAGGAAAAATGTTTAGGTGGAAAGAAAGGTCAGGAATGGGAACAATATAACATACACTCACTGAATCAAAAGTTATATGAACCAAGGGATGAGGAAATGACAAAATATACACAAAGAATGAGAAATGTGGTTCTTCTCAAAAACACTCCATAAAGATTCTTAATAAAGTGGTGCATCATTTTCTGGGTTAAATTTGTGATATTCAATGGTCAGTAGTGTTTCTTCTCTCTTTAATTTTTATAAAAGAAGTCAGAATTAGATTTGGGTACCAAAATAGTTAAAACAGATCAGCTGTTAAATTTCATCTTATCCAAAAATATTGAAAGTAACTGAAATTAAATTTTTAAATTTGAATCTAATTAAAACAAGAATATAAATTCAATATTGGTATAAGATCTAGAAGACTATGAAGTTTGCTAAAAATATTAACATAAGCAGATGTAGAATTGGTTTGATATTTTAATCATAATATAGCCTTCAGAAATATTACACATACACATAGCTATATTTTTGTTTACACAGTTATACAAACTTTTTGTTATAATTTTCAAGTACTAAAATAGGTCTCTAAAATTGTGGAGTCCACAGTAAGAATGGGAATATGAGGCTCACAGACCATATTTCTAAATATGTTAAAATGATAAATCATTCTTTAAATCAGATCAAATTCGGGGCACCTGGGTGGCTCAGTCGTTAAGCAGCTGTCTTCGGCTCAGGTCATGATCCCAAGTCCTGGGATCAAGCTCCGCACTGGGCTCCCTGCTCAGCGGGAAGCCTGCTTCTCCCTCTCCCAC